CGGCACCAAGCCCCACACTAAGCCCGTATCCAGTCCCCACAGCCAGGCCCCAAACCCCGGAGTCTTGCCCCAAAAGGGGCTCAGCCCTGGTCATGTCTGATCTGTGGGCCCCGCTCACCCCAAAACCCGCCCCACCTTGGCCCCCAACCCTTGGGTCCTGCCCCAAAACCGGCCCTGGGCCCATAGCCCAGCCCTACACGGCCACTCACCCCACAGCCTCCCCCCAAACCCCGGATATCTGCCCCAAAACGGGCTCTGCGCCTCCCAGCCCAGCCTCACACCCTAAATCCCGGCTATCTGCCCCAAAACGGGCTCTGCGCCTYGTTGCCCAGCCCCACAGCATCATCCCAAAGCCCTGGGAGAGCCCGCAGGAGCCGGTGGCCACAACCTCCACCGGGATGACCGAGCACACAGAGAAACGGAGCACGGAAGGAGCAGGAAAGGCCTTTGCTCCCCTCTTCCTTAGCTCCTCCGTTCCAAAAGGCCCCAATCTCCCCCAAATTCGGGGCTTTGCGGCTGCCCCGCACACASCACCGAGCGAGGACAAGAGCGGTTTCAAATCCACGCTTTACTGATGCGCCCGGAGCGGGGAACGCGCGACGGTGGCAGGCGAGAGGCCCAAGGAGCCTCCTCTCGGCTCGGCTGTCACCTCTCGGCCGTCTTCCCCAAAAACCCAGGGCCAAGCCGAGACAGGAATAYAAACACGGGATGGGGAGCGCCCGGGCCGGCTGGGGCCGCGGCGCCGGCTCCCCTAGTCCAGGTCGTCGGGGGCTTCTTCGTCTGTTAGACTCTGTCCGTTGACGGCCGGCGAGTGGCACCGGCCTTGCGATAGATCCTCAAAATCCTGACTCGTGGTGGGAGAGATGATGTCGGGGCTCGTGTCGCACGACTCGGTGCTCTGCTCGGAGGTAGCGATGGTGGTCGTGGTGCTCTTGGGGACAGGGTCGAAGTCGTCGTCGTCGTCGAGAATCGGGGATTCGTGGATGTCTGCAAGGGAAGACGCTCTTGGGTTTGACGCCAGGACGACACGAGCCCGGGGACCCCCAGGTAYGAGAGAGGCTCTGGCACAAACGCCACGAAGAACCTGCTCATTCAGGCTCCACGGGTCCCTAGATCATCAACAGGTAACTGATGTCCCCTCAATTAGTGGCCACGGCAGCTCTGTAACCTCACATGGGTTTATTCAAGAGCATAAAGGCCTTCCAGGCGGCTTTATATCCTCTCACAAGAGGTTTAAGAGAATAAAGCCCTTTCACAGCAGCAGCCACGTGTTGGGTGTCTCCTGTAGAGCACCCAACCCAGGACCCCCGTATCCATCAGGACACGATTTCTCACGCCAGAAACGGAAAAGCGCAGCTCCAAAAGCGGAGCCTCAAGCGGCAGGTCAGACCTAACACGGAGCAATCACTCACTGCTGAAGGCCTCCGGGTACTGCTTGGCCAGCTTCGCCTTCAGCGTCCTGCAAGGACAGAGCGGAGCGCGGCGGTAACGCCACCGGGCGCGCGCCCGTCGCGCGCCGCCGCGCCGCCGGCCCCACCTGATCCTGCGGAAGATGCTGTCCAGGTCCTTCTTCATCTCCACCAGCGTCCTGGTGTGGTGCACGAAGCGCTCGCCCATCTGCTGCATGCGCACGCTCGACAGGTTGTTGAAGTTGAGCAGCATCTCGTTGGTCTTCTCGAAGCGATCCAGCCTGGCCGGGCGGCRGCGGGGCTGGGCAGGCGCCCCCCGAGGACCGCCCGGACCCCATCCCCGTGTCCCCCCATCGCCGTGTCCCCCCGTGTCCCCGGCGCTCACATGTTCTTCTGCGCCTGGATGATGGCGTTGACGTCCTCGGCGTTGACCATGCCCAGCACGCGGCTGCAGAAGACGCGCGAGGCCGAGGGCTCCATCGCGCCGCCGCCTGCGGGGCCGGCACCGCGTCGGGTGGCGGCCCCGGGGCCCCCTCGAGCCCGGGAGCGGTCACGGACCCCCCCGGTACATCCCGGTAACGGGGCCCCCCACCCTGGTCCTCGTTAGGGTCCCCCCGGCTCTGCCACTCCCTGTTCCTGGGCCCCCTTTCCCCCAGGTCCCGGTACCGGATCCCCCCCTTCCCTATCCCGTTCCCGGTAATGGAGCCCCCTCCCCGTCCCGCCATGTCCCGGCCGCCGACACCGCCCCCGCCCCGCCAACGGAGCCCCCCGGTCCCGGGGCCGCCCCGTCCCCTGGCTGCCGGTGAGAGGCTGCGGGGTCCCGGGCGGCACCTGGGTCCGGAGCCCGCGGCCTCACATGGCGGCACCGGGAACGTGTGTGTGTGTGGGGGGGGTCCCGCCGCGCTTCCGGGGTGCGGGTCACGCAGCGCGCGGCTCCGTGACGTCAGCGCGCCCTTGCGTCACGGCGCCCTGCCGGAAGTGGCGGCCGCTGGCCCGCGGGAGGCGGAGGGTGGCTCCCCGCCCCCCGCGCACGGTAAGGCCCCCAGTGCCCGGTACCGCGAACGGCTCCGCGATGCTGCCGCGGCGCGAGCGACCCCCGGGAGAGGGGCTCCCCCGCTGCACCGGGAGCTGTAGCGCGGCCCCTTTAAGGCTTCGCGGCGCCGCGATGACGAGCAACAGCTCCGCCCAATGGCGTCGCGGCGGCGGGGCGCGGCTATCCAATGGGAGCGAGGGGGCGGGGCCGGCGGCGGCCGGCTCGCGGGGCAGGTGGGAGCGGCGGGGGGCGCGCGCGGCGGCGCCCGTTGCTAGGGGGGGGATCCCCGGCGCGTGACGTAGGCGGTGACGTGGGGGGCGCGCGCGCGCGCCGGCGGGAAACACGTGGCGGGGACCCCCGAGCGCGGCGGGGGCTGCGCCGGCACCCGGACCCTCCACGAGGCTTTCGGGGTGTCCCCTGCCCCGTCCCCCGCGTTCCCGGAGCCCGGGACTCCCCGTGCGGCTGCAGGGTGTCCCCTGTCGCCTCCCCTCCCAGTTCCCGGGGTGCTCCCTATCCAGTCCCCCCGTTCCCGGCGGCCGTCGCCTCCTTGGGGAAGCCCCACGAGGTTCTCATCCTGTTTCTGGTCACCCCGCTCCGGACAAACGGGTGGGTGCCACCGTTGTCCCCACGGAAGCACCGACGTCTCCCGCCTCTCCCGCAGTGCCCTCCTGTCCCGGCTCCACAGCCATGGCTTCCAGCGGGGAGGAGCAGAGCAGCAGCTCCCCGGACTGGGGCGACAGCGGCACCGAGCTGTCCGCCGCCGAGCTCGCCGGGGCCGGCGCCTCGCCGCTTGACAGCGGGGAGGATTTTGAGGTGTTGGAGGACGAGGAGGAYGACCTGAGTGAGCTGCCGCCGCTGGAGGACGTGGGCCGGGGCAGGACACCGGCAAAGGAGGGTGTCCCGGAGCAGGCCCCGGCGCAGGACGCGGAGGAGCCGCAGGAATGGCTCGATGTCTTGGGTAGGAGGCTACAGAAGCAGCGTCCGCTGCACCTTCCGCTCCCGTCCAGGGTGCTGAGCTGGCCCGTGGAGCTGGGAGGCCTTTCCTGGCGGGATGTGGCAGTGCCGGAAGGACCGGACAGGCGGGTCCGCGCTCGGAGGGCAGAAGCTGCTCTTGGGTTGTGGTTTGCAGGGAGCCATCGCTTGGGATGGCGACGTGGCGGCTCTTCCCGCTGCAGGGATGCCGGCTGGCACGCGGCGCAGCGGGATAACTCAGTACCAGGCCGTATCTGATCACTATTGATGCGTTTCCAACCTTCCCCTCGTGCAGGGAACGGTTTGCTCCGGAAGAAGACACTGGTGCCGGGCCAGGGGGAGGAGAGCCGCCCGCACAAGGGCCAGGATGTCACCGTGCGCCTCAAGGCCACGCGGGAGGACGGCACCGTGGTGGAGCAGGAGCCGCGTCTCACCTTCACGCTGGGCGACTGCGAYGTCCTGCAGGTGGGAGCCGCGTGGCGGGTGACAGGGACACTGGAGGGGTCTTGTGCCGCCTCGTGGGCTGGGAAGCGTCTCCGGATGGGCAGGACCCTTTGCTCAGCACCTGGTACAAAACTCTTCTGTTTAGGCCCTGGACCTGTGCGTGCAGCTCCTGGAAATGGGAGAAACGGCCTTGATCGTGTCGGATGCCAAGTACTGCTACGGCTCGCAGGGCAGGTGAGCGCTGCGGTATGTGGGGACCTGGCACCAGGGATGGCYGGCAGCCCAGCCCTTCCTTTGCAAGAGCCCTGAGGTGCCCTCCTTGATGCAGGAGCCCCGACATCCCACCCGACGCGGCCCTCACCCTGGAGGTGGAGCTGCTGGAGGCTCGGGATGCGCCGGACCTGGAGCTGCTCCCCGGGAAGGAGAAGATAGCGCTGGCCAACCGCAAGCGGGAGCGCGGCAACTTCTATTACCAGCGGGCAGACTACGTGCTGGCCATCAACTCCTACGACATCGCCCTCAAGGTCATCGGCTCCAGCTCCAAAGGTAGCCACCGTGGCCGGGGGCCTTCCGAATGGGAAGGCGCTCCTGCCTCCTTGGCTAACCGGGGATCATTGTAGTTGATTTTAGCCCCGAGGAGGAGGCCGAGCTGCTGGACGTGAAGGTGAAGTGTCTGAACAACCTGGCRGCCTCCCAGCTCAAACTGGACCATTACGAGGCAGCGCTCAAGTCCTGTAACCTGGTCCTGGAGCACCAGCCCGGGAACATCAAGGCCCTGTTCCGAAAGGGCAAGGTGAGGGTGGGCCCTGCTGGGGGCAGGGGGCCAGGCCAGCCCCGTGCTCAGCGCCGTGTCCCCCCGTGCCAGGTCCTGGCCCAGCAGGGCGAGTACCGCGAGGCCATCCCCATCCTCAAGGCGGCTTTGAAGCTGGAGCCTTCGAACAAGGTAGGCGCCGGGAGCTCTGCARAGCTGGGCTTTGCCAGCCCCGACCCTCGGCTCTGCAGAACCGCAGGGCTCGGCGGTGCCGTGGTGCAGTGCGTGCCAGCGCCCGGGCACGAGGGCGGCGCTGGCAGGGACCTTATCTCCGCGTGATGATGCTCCCGCTGCCCTTTGCTCCTGGAAGCAGCAGGACTCACGTGCCCAGCACGGAGGCTCCYGCCAGCGCCGCTCGGGCGGGCGGCTGCAGCGCCGCGGGAAGAGCGCGGCCGCGTCCCCGTGTCCCGCCAGAGCGCCGGGAGCAGCCCCGGCCCCTGCGTCCATGCTGAGRAGAGAGCGCTCCCTGCGTCAGGAATTCCTGGCTGGTTAATGATCAGCTGTGGGGATGGATGCGGAGGGAAAGGAGCCAGCTTGGAGCAGGGCGCCCAGCTGCACCAACAGGCTTCAATCCTGGCTTGTTTTATCCGCCTTTTTCTTGGGCCTTTCCCCGAGCGTCCTTGTTAGCCTCATGTTTTCCCATCCCTGGAGGCCCCAAGCAGGAGGAGCCTCTGAGCAACGAGGTGCTCCAGGCAGGGCAGTGGGAGCAGGATCCTRGCGAGGGAGCAGCAGGGATCGCGGGCGGAGCTGCTCACCAGGAGCCTCCCTGTGCCAGCAGGAGCTTTTAATTAGGAAGAGGAAAGAAAATATCCAAAAGCCTAGCATGGGAACAGCAACTTCCCAGCTGCTGCAGCTGGTGTCAGGGATCCCTGGGAAGTGGCCGCGTGCTCCGAGGGGCTCCCGCWGGTGCAAACAGAGCCGGGAACGGCTCCACCTGCCCTGGCCGAGGAAGCGGGTGCTGCGGGCGGCCGCTCGGCACCCGCGGGACGTYGCGGCGAGCGCCCCGATGGTCGGCGGTGCCGGTGATGGGTCGGGATGCGGGAGGYGCCCGGAGCGCCGCGTCCCCAGCAGAGGGCACCGCGCGGCCGCCGCGTCCTCCGCGCCCGGCGCCGGACACGGGGTCCCAGCCGCCGCTCCCCGGGATCGGGATCGGGAGGAGCCGCCGGCTCCGGGCCCGGATTGTAGCCCCCCGAGCCCCTCATTCCACCCGCTGCAGGGTGGGAGTGCTTGGTGCCGCCAAGCTCCYTCCAAATGCACCGATTCCCGTGGATCGGAGCGCTCCAGCGCGCCGCCGCTCGCTGCTCTTGCTGCGATCCCACGTCTCCGCATCCCCTGGCCCACGTCCAGGCAGATGCGGCCAAGCTCTGTCCCCGAGTCGGGAATTACGGAGCATTAAAGCAGGAAAATCCCCCCGCCCGGTGCCGTGGTGCCCGGGAGCCGTGCCGGCAGCCCCGTGCCCTCCTTGCAGACCATCCACGCCGAGCTCTCCAAGCTGGTGAAGAAGCACGCGGACCAGAAGAGCGTGGAGACGGAGATGTACAGGAAGATGCTGGGCAACCCCGGCGGCGCCCCGGCCAAGTGCCGGGACAAGCTGCCCTGGGTAAGGCTGGCGGGACCCCCGCGCTGTCCCCAACAGGGCCGCGTGGCCGGGCGAGTGGCGCGTGGCCTTTTTGGGCTGCGCTGTCCCAATCCGTCACCCTCTTCCCTCCTCCGCAGGCCATTCCCTGGAAGTGGCTCTTCGGCGCCACGGCCATCGCGCTCGGCGGCGTCGCCTTGTCCGTCGTCATCGCGGCCAGGAACTGATGAGGAAGGACGAGCTCCCGGTGCCGGACCCCCCCGGACGCCCCCCGGTCTCCGTGCGCGGACGGGCCGCTCCGGCCTCTGCAATGTGCAAGGAAGCCAAAGAATGTGTGTGGGGGGCGCGAGGGCCGTGACCCCCCCACCCCGGGGCCACTACGTCCCCCCACCCCGGGGCGCCGCGTCCCCCGGCCTGGCTCGGCCGCCCGCCCGCCCCATGACTGTGAAATTCCCAATAAATTAGGACAATTCCTTCATGGATAGGGCTTTATCCGGGGGGGGGGGGCTGGATGCTGAGCCCCCCTTCTGCAAGTTGGGAGCTGGAGGGGGGTGCCTTCCCTCCGGCTGAGTCTTCGTTGCAGTTTGGGGAGGGGTCCCCGGTGTTGGTGTCCGACCGTGTGGGCAGCCGGAATTCCCACGCTGGCTCCGGCACCTGCTCCAAAGCCGGAGTCCTTGGAGGGCTCCACATTCCTGAGCTTTGGAATRGGGGCCAAACAGCCCATGGCGCCCCCCATGGGGAGGAGGGTCCCGAGGTCCTATGGACCCCCCCCCAGACCCCAGGCCCTGCGCGGGGGGGTGATGTGGGCTCCCCCGGGGMTGCTCAGACCCCCCCCCCGGGGCCATTCCCGGGGGGGGTCCCCGGGGAGGGGGGTTCCCGTTGACGCCCCCCCAGGTCCTCCAGCGCTGGAGGGCTGCCCYAAACCACCCTCCCCGCCATGCCCCGCGGCTCTCATTTGCATACCCCCGCCTCCTCCCGCCGCCTGCCAATGGCGCGCGGCGGCCCGGCCGCGCGGGCCAATGGCGGCGCGYGCTGCCCACCTCCTTGCCCCAGCAACAGGCAACTCCGCGGTGGGCGTGGCCGCGGGCGCCTCATGAATAATGCATGAGGCGGCGGGGGGCGTGTCGGCGGCGGCGGCGGGCGGCCCCGGCGCGGAGGGGGAGACGGTCCCAAGATGGCGGCGCTGCAGGCGGAGCGCGGGTACGGGCTGTCGTGCGGCCGCCTCGGCCGCGGCACCCGCGTCTCCGTCTTCCACGTGAAGCTCACGGAGAGCGCGCTGCGCGCCTTCGAGAGCTACCAGGCCTGCAAGGTGAGGGGCGGCGGCGGCGGGTCGTTCCCTCCACACCCTGCCCTCCCG